ACATGTCCGCTGAAGAGAAGAAATAATTCGACGGCAGGAAAGCGCAACTTGGGGAAGAATTTACGAAGGCAATACAAGGTGCCATGTTCCAGTTCTACACCAACGTCACCGACAAGAAGAATGAGCTGGACGCCATGGCGAAACGACTCGCCCCCAAACGTCCACGCACGGCTGCTGGCGAACCACTTGGACCAGTGCAGGAACCCCCACGAGAACCTGGACCTCCAGAGCCGCCGTCTACTCCAGGAGCTGCGAGTTCAGCAACGGCCCCGCAATCCACTCCCACAGCACCGCCCCGGTCTCAATTCGCAAAACAAGCAACGAAAACGGCAGAGGAGGTGCGCGACGATATTCGCGCCGCCAGGACAAGATGACGAAGAAGCGCAAGGTGCGAAAACGGGTAACAAGACGAAGAAGAGCACCAGGACGATCTACATGCGAAACCTTGGCAACTGGGCACACATCACACAGTCTTTTGTCAAGCAGCGACCGCGCGATGTTTTTCTATTTCCCGAGGCGCACATCTTATCATAATACAAAAGCGATATGTTGGGTCTCTGGGGTGGCACAGGCTACACAGCAGCCTCTGCCCCGGCCAAGCGCAAAGGTGGCACTCTCCGAGCAGGTGGGCTGGCCATGGGTATATCACGCAGGCTACAATCGGCATGGAGGAGACACCTGGCGAAGCATCCTGAGCAACTTCAATTGGAGCGCGTTGCTTAGTTCGTTCGGGGCTCAGAAAAAAAACACCGGCGTTCAGAGGGTCAGGGTGTGGTCGTTCGCGCTGCAGTGCTTTCTGCGATGGCAGGGGCGGCCAGGCCGTGGGCGGCCACTGCGAAACGCGTCGCGAGCAACGAAGCCGACGATGGGGTGATTGCACTTCGATGGGTAGGGAGTTGACAGTGAAGGAGGAGGATGGGGGGGAGGGGGGAGGGGGGATGCGGAGCGCGAAGAACGCAAAAAAAATGAAAAAGGACGGAGGGAACACGCCGTGCACTTGGGTCCCGCGTTCGGTATCATGCGTGATATATTGTGCTTCTCTCCACCTAGTCTCAGTTGTAGCATGTTCATCCACCGCGAGGCTTTGTTCGTCATGTAGCGCGTGATTGCGCGGCCTCGCTGCCCCCTGCAACGTCGCCGTAGGTCAGGCGCGGGCGCGCAGCAGGAGGTAGGCCAATGCTTTTGTTAGGTTCGGGGCATATGGCCCCGCGTTGCAAAGGCAACCTAAGATCTGGCCGAAGCGGCCGATGGCGCCGCGGGCTTGCACCGCGTGCCCTCTGATGGATCATGCCGTCAGCGTCGCGCCGCCTCGCCATCAAAATCCCCTCATTCCCTCCCTCCCTCTCTCCCTCCCCCTGCCCCTCCCTGCGGTGTCCCCCCTTTCCCTCCCCTCTGCTTTTTTGCGGCCGACGAGGGGCGGAGGCGCGGGGGGCGGGGCGGGGCGGGCGCAGGGGCGGGGGCGGAGGGGGCCAGCGGAATGGGGGGGGGATGACAGCAGTCGGACGAAGAGGGGGCGCGGGGAGCGGGGCGGTCGCACTGCGCGGGAGGGCGTTTTGTCTCCCGCGGAACGCATTCCCGCAGGTCAGTCGGGGCGGCGTTTTTCGAGCCGGGTTTATAGGCCTTCCGCCGCCTCCTTTTTCGAGCTGGGTTCGCGCACCTTCCGCCGCCTCCACGCCGGTTTTCGGGGGGGGGGCCCGTGGGGGGGGGGGGGCGTTTTTAGAGCCGGGTCCACAGATCTTCCGCCGCCCCCCCGGGCGGGCCCTGCCTGCGAGGGGTCGCTCAGGGATCGCGCGCTTGTCGAGCCGGGTTCGCAGACCTTCCGCCGCCTCGGGCTGGGCAGCATTTTTCGAGTTGTGTTTGCGCGCCTTCCGCCGCCTGCTTTGTCGAGCCGGGTTTGCGCACCTTCCGCCGCCTCGATGTCGGTTTTCGGAACGGCGTTCCAGGACTCGCGGAACCCTGTTCCGCCGCCCTCGGGGGGGGCGGCGCGCCTCCGCCCAGACGGCATCGGGGGAGAGGTGCAGGGGCGCGGCTCCACGGGCACTGCGGCGACAGCCAGAGGGGCGTCGGATCGCCCACGGGGCACGCGCGGGCGGGGTGAGGGACGGGGAGGAGAAGGACCGAGCGCCCGGTAGCATGTGGTTTCTGCTCGCACGAAAGCGGGGGGCAGGAGGGGATGGCGGGGACGGGCCGGGGGTGGGGCAATTTTCTTCCAGGAGGAGGAGGGGGTGGAGAGGGGGAGGGGGGGGGGGGGGCGACGACGATGACGAGTAGTAGGAGGAGTAGGAGGAGGAGGAGGAGGAGGAGGAGGAGGAGGAGGAGGAGGAGGAGGAGAGGAGAGATGAGAGAGGAGACAGGAGAGGGGAGATAGGAGAGGAGGAGAGGAGGAGGAGGGCGGCCCAACGCAGCAATAACAACGCGGGAAATCTCAGTGGGAATCGCAAACAATGCGAAGGCGAGGGCAATGGAGCAGGAGACGAGCAGAGGACAATGAGCGAGCGCA